ACAGACCTCACCTGTACAAAGAGGTCGTGCACACAGTCCCGCTCGTCATCTGACGCCAACTTCGCATAGGGTGACGCCTGTAAACGGTCCATGTATATCAACGCTCCCATGAGCTTTCTTATCTCTGCGCAAACGGTTGTTAGACGTCGAAATTCGGTACAATGTTGATAGATATGATCATAGTATTGAGGCCGTGCGAAGACAGACTCACTCTAACGTATACTTGTGTGGATGTAGGTCAAAAGAGCTATGTTTTGCGTATAGGCTTTTATTTCACTAGGCTGTGGGGTGCTGCAAAACGTGCACAGATACCTACATCCTCAACCGTAAACCATAAACCGTATTTAGTAGCGATGTGGGCTGAGTGGCGGGTCTAGTACGCGGTTGATGTGCATGTTATCAGTCACACGTGACTGAGTTTGACGCCCAGTTCGAATTACAGATACAATGCACATGACATATGTCACTCCGTAGGTCTACGTCTGGGTCCAAAAAATATATACCACAAGCAGACCTGTACATAAACGCCACCTACACAAACCATCCATGCACAGCCATTAATAAATCAACCCTATACAAGTTGAGGAGTAGGCTCTATGACAAAAACAAATAGTCGAATGGACATTCACGACGCCGAACTTCGGGGAAATAGTCGAATACGTACGAATATAAAGGACATTCACGCCGCCGAACTTGGGGGTAATAGTCGAATACGTACGAATATAAAGGACATTCACGACGCCGAACTTCGGGGCCGGGACGTGTTGGGACTGGAGACACCTCACTTACCGCTCATTTGGTCGTGTTTGAACTTGTGGAAGTGTTCTCGCGCATACTTCAGCGCCCGAGCGTTGTCCTTGACACAAACCAACAGCGTGATGTAGTAGAGCCGATGGAGTTTGAACTCGAGATCGCTATCTATCGCTGCGAGTGCCTCTCCATTGCGCATAGCCCAGCTGGACGGGACGAACGGACAGAGAGGTGGAGAGGGTAAGAACTACGCAGTAATACACTTGAGTGTGTGTGTAGTGCTACGCAGTAATACACTTGAGTGAGTGTGTAATGGTGAGTGTGGTGTACTTTAGTAAGGTGAGAAATATGTGAAAGCGAAGTGGTGAAGGAAAGTACCATAGCAAGTCAGTACAGCTGATCCCGCAGAACCATGGATGCCAGCATATGCAAGCCTTATACTAAAACCCACAATCAAGCCCGCTGGTTCTGTGGTTTGACACTTGAAAAGGCAACTAGATATTAAAGTTTGCCCTATATACATACATATATATATATATATATATATATATATATATTATATATATAATATATATATATAATAGTGTGTCTATATATATCTAGTAAGACTACATAAACGACACATA